GAAAAAATATAACGCGTCAGTGCATATCGAAATTACACTCGTACTTGCGTAAGGACACAAGTTGAGCGGAAAAAATACACTAATACACTTGCAAACAATGTAAAAGCGATCGGAAAATACGTTTTTTATGTTTTTTTATACATATAAAAAATATAAATACGATCAAAAAATAGAAAATGTTTTTTCCTTTTTTTTCTTAATTAAATAAAAAAATGAGCATTTTGATAGAAAAATTATTTTTTATAATAAACGATGAAAAGGGAATTCGAGATAAAGCTTGTGTCCTACGTGCAATATTCGTTAAGATGTTCTGGAAATCTTACTCGTCTTCCAGAACGCATTGTTTTATGTTTATCTATTGACGTTGACGAAGTATCAAGTTGTGTGTCGGCTGTCGTGTAGGGTACTTTGAGTGTAGGAGCCTTGTCGTACGATCGTATTGAAGGAAATTCGACGTAGCTAGGGTTTCCTTCTAAGTACGCTGCTTTTAAGCGATCGATACTGATGCTATCGTTCGTGCCGTTTTAATCGACTACATAGTACTTGGGTTTGAGTTGAAGAACATTGATGGGTCCTTCGTATGCTGATTCCAAAGGTCGTCGATGTGAGTCTCGACGAACGAAGACGTGTGTACTATGTCGTAATTCGGGTTGAACGAAAACATCAGTTGATTGAAGTCGAGTGTGAGCAGGTTTAACTGAACGCATAGCGTTTGTAAGCCTACTCGTGTAAGAGTTTAGATCCATGTTCAATGAAGAGGCTGAAGGATTCACGAATTCCCCTGGGAGTCGGAGTGTCGTTCCGTAAACGAGTTGAGATGCAGTGTATCCAATGTCAGCTTTCACTGCATTGCGGATACCTAGCAAGACGAGTGGAAGAGCGTCTGTCCACTGTGAAACGTTTGAAGCTGATAATGAAGCTTTTAGTTGTCGATGAAAACGTTCTACCAACCCGTTTGCTTGTGGGTGGTGGACGGTCGTTCGAAAGCGCGTGATTCCTAATAGTGAAGTCAGACAATGGAAAAGTCAGGATTCGAACTGGCGCCTGCGGTCTGTAGTGATCGTGGAAGGGCACCTGAAATTTGCTACCCATCGTTCGACGAAAGCGCGAGCCACGGTTTCAGCAGTAATGTCCTTAATAGGTACTGCTTCTGGCCATCGAGTAAAACGGTCTACGCATGTTAGGAGATATGAGTATCCGTTTGAGTGGGGTGAGGGTCCTACCTAATCTAGATGGACGTGGTCGAAACGAGCGTCAGGGGTTTTGAAAGAGCCTAAGGGACATTTGTTGTGTCTTATGACCTTAGATTTCTGACAGCTTACACAGGAGCGTGCCCACTCCCTCACGTCTTTATTCATACCAGGCCAGCAGAAGCGTTCGGCTATAAGTTCGATTGTTGCACGAGCACCTGGATGAGAAAGATTGTGCAACGTATTGAAGACGTTGCGTCGATAATGTTTTGGTACTATTGGACGATCGCTACCTCTAGATGTGTCACATAGTAAGGTTTCCTTACCTGTTCCCATCTGCTTAATACGCAGTTTAAGAGTTATCGAGGATAACTCATGCTGAAGATCAATGTCTTCTTTTTGAAGCTGAGCGAGTTTAAGAAGGTCAATTCCTTGGAAACTGTTCAAGGAACTTATTCGAAACAAGGCGTCTGCGACTACATTGTTAGCTCCAGAAATGTGTTGTATGTCTGAAGTAAACTGCGAAATGTATTCGAGTTGTCGAGACTCTCGCGGTGAGTACTTGTCCGAACATGAACTTAAGGAGAAGGTAAGAGGTTTGTGATCGGCAAAAAGCGTGAATTCCCTTCCTTCGATGGAATGTTGGAAATGCCGTACAGCACAATACATAGCTAGGAGTTCCCTACCGAACGTGCCGTACCTAGATTCCGCGTCTAGCAACCGTCTCGTGAAAAATCCTAACGGTTGCCATGAGTTGTTAAACCATTGTTGTAAGACTCCCCGATTGCTGAGTCTGATGCGTCTACGGCGATACTAATGGGCGCTTGAGTGTCTTGATGAGTAAGCAGGGTTGCCTTAGCGATGTGTTCCTTAGCTGTGGAGAATGTTTTACGGGCTATGTCGTCTAAACTAATTGATTTCGCATTTCCACGAAGCTGATCGGTTAACGGTTTCATAAGGGATGCACATTTGGGTATGAACCGTCTGTAGAAACTTACAAGTCCGTTAAAAGTTCATAAGTGCTTGATCGTGGTCGGTTCTGGGTAATCCAGAATGGCCGCCACTTTGCTCCTAAGGGGTCGGATGCCTTGGGCATCAATGGTGTGTCCTAGGAACTCTAAGGAGTTTGTTCCGATTTGGCATTTCCGTATGTTGACAGTAATGCCATGTCTTTGGAGTTGATCGAAAACAATGTCCAGATGCTTGAGATGTGATTCTCTGTCCGGACTTGCTATTAGACAGTCATCAACATACGCATGTGCGAAGTTGAGACCTCGGAAGACGTCGTCTATAAACCTTTGGAAGGTTTGAGCCGCATTTCTTAAACCAAAAGGCATTCGCAAGAAATGGTAAAGACCGAAAGGAGTGATGATGGCGGTTTTAGGAATGTCATCAGGTGCCATCGGTATTTGGTTATAAGCCTTAACTAAGTCGATTTTTGAAAAGACAGTTGTACCTTTCAAGGTATCTGTCAAATCGTGAATATGAGGCAGCGGGTAGCGATCGGGAATAGTTTTAGCATTCAGACGCCGATAATCACCAGTTGGAAGCAAATCGTTGCTGTCCTTTTTAGGGACCATGTGCAATGGGGATGACCATGGACTATTCGATGGTCGAATTATCCCTAAGTCTATCATATGGTCGAATTCGTTTTTGGCTAACCTAAGCTTTTCGGGAGCGAGAAGAACGCCAACTTCTGCGCCGGTGTCGACGAGGTAGCGAACTTTCGTAGTCACATCCGTGACATATAAGGGGCGGCTGTGTTCGCTAGCTACGGTTGCCGTTAACGCGTGCCGGCTGGAAGTTTCCCGAACTGTTTTTCGTGTCATTCGATTTTGAGGTCGGATAATTGCAGAGTTTCCTGCAATTCCTGGAAGATTTACCGTACTGTTTATGACACCAGCACCAGTCGGGGTTGTCTGTCTCTCGTGGTCGAGAGGCAGATCGCTTACGTGAGACGCTCCTACGTAAGGATTTTGACCGACTACGGTCATTACGAAATCGAAGATAGCGTGTCAGTGTATGACATAGTTCGGCAATGTCATTCGGGGTTGTTTGAGGTTTTTCTTTGACTGAAAACATCTCGGCCTTAAATGATTTTGTGATTTCTAAGATGCAGTCGGCAGATGCAGCCAGCTCGTCTATGGTGTTGTTTTGAAACGAGACGAGCACTACCTGCACCTGTTGAGAGAGTTAAGACAAGAAAAGTTGCCTGAATAGGCCATCATCGAATGTTCGTTGGCCGATAACCTCTCTCATTCGTAGCAACATGTCTGTAGCAGAACCATGTTGCAGGTCGATGTTATGGAGGAGTTGGTCCAACCGTTGTTGATCAGTTAGGTCTCCTCGTTTTAAAATCGACCGTCTGAGAGTTTCGTACGGTTCCGGAATATCACTAATAAACATACTAGGTGTTACGTACCTGTTAAATTCGCGCGGTAACGCCTTAACTACCGCGAGGAATCGTGTGCGCTAGTCCGTGATCCCGTGCATGCAAAAATCAGCTTCTGCGTAGCAGAACCAGGACTCGATATTGTCAGGCCAAAATGGCGTTAACTGGATCGAAGTAGGAGGAATAGACTTTAAATTAAATACCTTAGGTGAGAGTTCCGTCATAGTAATATAATTAACGAAAAATGTCTAATTAAAATATATCTGGGAAAAAACTCGCGAAGAAAAAGTATATCACAATATATAAAATTCAAATAATCAATAACAATGAATAATAATAATAATCCAAAAAGGAACAGACTCACAGTTTATTGGCTTGGTGTACCAGATCACGTCGGGCTCACCACTGAAGATACGATGGATATTCTAGTTTATCAACTATCGACCAATAGTACCTTCTATATTCGATTGTTCCCGGCCAAAGGAAATCAGAAGTCAGACGAGAAGAGGTAGGAAAGATATATTTTATATGTTACCAATATATCGAGAGGCGTTCGTTAATAACTGACTATGGAAACGTAGGAGCTGTGTCCCACGCCGAGTTGCAACATGATCTGGTACGAATGCATGACCGAAAGCCTTCAGCTAAACAAGTCCACTTAACCAACGTGGTCAGCATCCAATGTCGAACACTGAGAAAGCTATTGATTTTGGGGAATTATTTACAGCTACAATACAGGCGGAGTATTCAGTGGGGTGATTTGTGGAATCCAAAGTTCCGAGGTATCGTGGGGTTTGAAATATTATCTCACTAGCTTCCATGCGAGATAAGCTGCACGAAGTACCCAAATTTTATCTAGTAAGAAAGGAAGACCAACACCTTTTTGCTGAGGGTGCATCCAGCAACAGTAATTAGGTTATCATCTTTGTCAAAGACATAGAGCCATTGGAATTTTGAGAACTCACCATTAAAGCCCTCTCCGTCCCAGTGAGATTGTGAGGAATCTAAGATATCTAAACTTAACAGACTGTCTGTATGTAAGCACTTGGATTTTTAAGAAGCTCAATTGTATAGGACAAAACACAGGTTTTCAAGGGTTAAAAACCAATGACTGAAACTCTTTGATTTCATCATGTTGTTACAGAACATTCATTAGATGCATTCAGGTGAGGTGTGCCAAATGAGTACTAACACAGTCCTTTTAGTCTTCTATCCTTCCAAAACTACTGTTAAACACCAGATGCTTTCAGGTATAATTTTAGAACCTGCTTATAAGAATCCTAACTACACGTAAAGAGATACCCTAAATAAAATGTATTTCCGATTTCATTCTTCGCAAAATTCTTATCAATGATCATTTGGTGATTTAAAAGAACCTGGCGGTACTGTCAACATAGTTTCGATTTTCTCGTGAGACAATGGCAGGGGATGATAAGGTGAATATTGATAGTGTCATTGGTAGACTGCTAGAGGGTAAGTACTCACAACACGAATGTTATGTTTACACAATCCTAACCTTACCTAGTTCTTTATGTTCTACAAAACGTAATGTATAACTATATGTAGCCTTCAATTGTCCTCACCTATCATTTTCCTACCTTCTCAGACTTATAGTTCAGTAAGGCCTTTTGGTGTGCAATAAAAAGAATGGGTTAAATTTTGTGCAACGACTCATTCCTTCTGCCTGGATCTTTTATACGTGATATTCGCACTTGCAACACATTTGTTGTGAAGTGTTCTGATTCGACATCTAATAACTGATGTATGTTACGCAGCACTGCTTTATTCACACAGTTTTCTGGTGTTTATGGTGTTGGAATACGCTTGTCTATACTCTCCCTTGAATTTTAGCACCACGGTAGTCCTATAGATACTTTGACTTCTTCAAGTGATGCCTTTTTATTAGTTAATACACCTCCCAAACTTTGCTTTGTGCAGCCTAGACCTCATATTTTTTGAATCACTCGAGTTTCCTTGCTCTTCCGTGTCTGCCTTCAATTGGTGTTTTGAGAAGCTATCAAATAAGGCTGAAATGCACATGTGGGTACACATTTAAGCATTAATGCTTTTTAACTCTCATTCTAGGTAAGTTGAATCAAATTCGCTTCACTAACCCATCAGTTACAAGACAACTGTATACACTACCTAGTCAGCCCCGTTACAACTGTGCGCAAATCATATTACTCGGCTCTAAATTAACAGGTCATACATTGTACAATAAAGTGAAAGGCAAAACCCGGCACAAATTACGTATTAGCTCAAGATTTTCACTCGAATCAGCTGCTCCAAATACGTCTGACTTAATTTGGAGAATGGGGTCAAGTCGGCATTTGACTTTACAGAGTTCTGATTATCCCCGTGAATGTACTGTGCATACTTAAAGAACATTTTGAAAATAGCTCCATACATCGTTAACAGAAGTCTAAATGTTCAGTGGAATGCGAGTGTGCAACACGAGTAGGTTTTAAGTTGCTCTGCTGCTGCTAGATATGCTCGCCAAGCATAAAAGTCGACTACAAATACCCATTTATTTGTTATTTCATTCGAAAAATAATTTTTTCATTAGTTATAATTTGACTTATGTGAAGGCTGGGGGGTACTGTCTAGGTGCCCAAACCGTAGCGGGTGGTTTTCTTAGGGAGCCACACCCTAGCCTTTGATCTAAAGGTTTGATCCACAAGGTAAGGAGATACAGTCCCATGGTAACCGGTGACCAATACGTTCTACTCCATTTGTTCCTTCATGGTACTGGAGCCCATGTGCACCATTGATTTGGAACCAGGGTTTTGCAACTCCCCTAGTTGGATCCTCTGTGTCCACCAGAAAGCAGTGAGTAGGACTTTCCTGGCAGATGCTATATACGTGTGGACATGTGAGCATTTCGAGAGGGAGAGCTCATTCTCCCCACCCTCGACCACATCAGGGCATTTGGATGACCTTCTGGAAACATATTTGGTGGATGTAAGTATTGATGATGTGAATCTGTTGCCTGGAGTAAGATTTTTTGACCTTGAGTTACTTACGCCCCTTACTCCCAGTGGAACATAAGCTGCCGACCAGCATTCTCCGACCCACTTTGTCCTTAGCCTTCCTTTCTAGTTCTATCCAATTGTTGTTCATTCTCATATCTGTCTCCATTTCTCGGCATCAGTCAGTCAGTCAGCTACAACGTAGGACCAGGCACACATATGCATCGGTCCAAGTTGCCATACCTCATTAGCACAACAAGATGAACACAGAATTCTTAGAAGTAGTTAATTTAATGGTGGTAGTATATGAAAGATAGGTTGTATATAAAGATGTAGTACAGGGAAAAAGATAGATATGAAGCAATTTTAATTTCACGGTTTAAGGGAAGACAGAGTGTATACACCTACGCAATTGTGATCGATTCTGAGCCATATCACTTAATCCACAACCATTGGTTACGATAGTCGCGCGGACCCCAACCAAGTAGTCTGCATCTGCCAACATGACTTCAAGCTCTGATGCCACGTTTTGGTTTGGTCACCCCTAACTCTTCGAACCATCTCTAATAGTCAGCATCGCGCGTCGTGGTAATCGGTGTTCAGGCATAATGTGTTCTTTGATCTTCCTCTTCTCCTTTGGTCTTCAGGATTCCATGTGAGAGCTTGACTCGTGACGCAGTTGAGTGCTTTCCTCAATCTGTGTCCTATCCCTTTCCAGCGCTTCTTGATTTCTCCTTCCGCTGATATCTTGAGTATGCGAATTATATTGTCTTACTGTGCAATGGTACCCAAGCCATGCAATCTGCACTTAGTGTGTTGGCAGTCAGAGTCCCTAGGTATGACATGTGCTTTGCACCTTCCAAGTGCAAGAACTTCCACAAGGCTGATAGGATACTGAACCTACACTCACCCTGGTTAGTAAGAAGATGGTAGTCGAGAAGTTCGTGTATCTGTGTAGATGCTGGTTGTGGCGTGAGTGATGAAATCAATTCACCTATAGCGAAAGCCAGTACAGCTTATGTCAATCTGGGTCATCTTTGTCGCCTTCGTAATGTTAGTCTAGCTGTAAAAGGTCGGATCTACAACGTGTCGGTGAGAGCACTTTTGCTCTATGCTTGTGAGCCAGTGATGATTCTGCTGTGACCTTTTACTTTCCTCATGAAACGTGATCGTGTATGGTAGTAAAAAAAATAATATTAGTAGGAGAAACAGAAAGGTACAACCAGAAAGAATTCTTTCAATTAAAGAAGTTACGGCCACTTTTATGAAGAAAGTATGAGAGAGTTACGGAAGGATCGCCACTGGCTTTCATTTCGAGCCATATCTGATGACGTTTCTAGCCACTGTGTTGCACCATCTCTAAGACTCCCTACCAGGGAGTCGTGAAGGACCAACAAAAGCCAATCCTGTACAGCTTTCTCTCATACCACGGTACCATGTCAAACACCATCTCCCTGACTTTTTCAACCAGTCCCAGCGTCGGAAAATGATGCACGATATGGAATTCGCTGGAACGTTATTCGGAAGGCATGTCTAAGTCACCGAAGTCGATGTTTCAAAATAGTGACACTAATTGAATTATCGTCGCTGTGCCTGAACACACGTTTCCGAACCTCTGCATTACTAACATGGTTGTGCCGCTGGATGTCAGAAATCCTTCAGAAACAACGACGATCGAGCAAAGAGAGTCATCTAACATCCTCAACTCGGGGGGCCGAATCTCACAAGCATAGAGCAAAAGTGCTCTCACCGACACGTTGTAGATCCGACCTTTTACAGCTAGACTAACATTACGAAGGCGACAAAGATGACCCAGATTGACATAAGCTGTTCTGGCTTTCGCTATACATGAATTGATTTCATCACTCACGCCACAACCAGCATCTACACAGATACACGAACTTCTCGACTACCACCTTCTTACTAACCAGGGTGAGTGTAGGTTCAGTATCCTATCAGCCTTGTGGAAGTTCTTGCACTTGGAAGGTGCAAAGCACATGTCATACCTAGGGACTCTGACTGCCAACACACTAAGTGCAGATTGCATGGCTTGGGTACAATTGCACAGTAAGACAATATCATCCACGTACTCAAGGTCGTAAAGTCTTTCTACAGGCAACAGATCCTCACCGCCATTACTTATATCTATCAGAGTTGTTTCCAGAATATCATCACTTACAAAGTTGAAGAGGAATGGTGAGATTTGGCAGCCCTGTCCAACCCCACTGCTTGAATTGAACTGTGGAGAGAGGTCAGTCAATCAGTCAGTTACAACGTAGGACCAGGCACATATATTTTCATCGGTCCAAGTTGCCATACCTCGTTAGCACAACAAGATGAACACCGGATTCATATAAGTAGTTCATTTATTGGTGGTAGTACATAAAGAAAGATTGTATATAAGAATATAGTATAGGAAGGAAAAGAAGTTATGGTTGTATTCCCTTCACTCTGCCTGAGGTGTTTGTATATAGGGCTTTTAGGATATTAATAAACTTCTCAGACACACCCTTCTTCAATAGACAATCCCAGAAAGCAGTCCTGTCCAACGAATCAAAGGCAACCCTAATGTCAAGAAACACTACAATTGTTGGTTTGTGATAAGTATGACGGTGTTCTAACATTTGGCGGAGGGTGAAGATATGATCAATACATCCTTGATCAGAACGAAATCCAGCCTTCCCCTCACGAGCCAATCTTTCTCGTGTTTTCAACAACCTACGAAGTATGACAGAAAGCAATAGTTTGAACGCAATCGGAATTAGGCTTATCCCCCGATAGTTGTTACAGGAACGACGTGAACCCTTTTCAAAGATAGGGACAACTATCGACTCGTTCCATGATGTTGTAACACTCTCTAGCTCCCAAAACTTTGTAAACAACATAGTCCGTTCCTTAATCAGAAAGTCACCACCATCTTTGAAAAGAGCCGGAAGTAGGTCATCTGGGCCCGATGATTTGTAGCGTTTCAAGAGTTGGAGTTCTTTGCGGACTTCCACCTCATTTTGTGAATCAGTCGTCATAGGCCATGAAGGGCAGGACAGTCTGGTCGATGTTGCTGGGACAGCAGGCCAGTTAAACTGTCCAGATCTCTGCCCATCGTCCCAGACATTAATGGATGTTAGTGGTTGGCATCCCACCATCCTCACAGATTGTTTCGTCCACACCAGATTTCTTGCTGCCAGTGGCTCAGATGAGTCGAAAGAGCTTCCGGCGGTTACCAGATGCAGTTGCTGTTTCCAGCTCATTAGCACGCTCCGACCACCAGCCTTCCCGGGTGCCCAGACCGAGGCATGTGGTTTGCTTAGGAGGCCACACCCCTATCCTTTGACCTGAAGGTCTGATCCACAAGGCAGTGGAACAAGGTAAGGAGATACAGTCCCATGGTAACCGGTGACCAATAGGTTCTACTCCATTTGTCCCTTCATGGTACTGGAGCCCATGTGCACCATTGGTTTGGAACCAGGGTTGGATCCTCTGTGTCCACCATCCCAGTTAGAGCTTCTGAAATTCGTTTTTCGTCCTCTCACTTTCGTAAAGAACACCCGTGGCGCGAGAAGTCAGTGAGTAGGACTTTCCTGGCAGATGCTATATACGTGTGGACATGTGAGCATTTCGAGAGGGAGAGCTCATTCTCCCCACCCTCGACCACATCAGGGCGTTTGGGGGTGCCTCATTGATATTGTATGGCGCATATGTATTTAGTGAGGCAGTAAAGTAGTCGAGCGCGTTGACAACTTCACTTATCTTGGAAGTCTGATCAACCTTAATGGGTTGGTGTCTGACGAAGTCTCCGCACGGATTCAGAAAACTCATTTGGCTTTTTCTAACTTAAGTCACCTTTGGCGGAGACGGGATATCCGTCTATCAATTAGGAAACGAGGCATCAGTCCATAACGTCACTAACTTCTGGTCTGAGTCATGACATAACTCAGAATCAATCACAATGGATTAGGCGTATGCACTCTTTGTCTTCCCTTAAACCGTGAGATTATAATTGCTATATACCTTTCTTTCTCCTTGTATTATATCATTATCTGTAATCTTTCTTTTATATATTACTACCATTGAAGTAATTGTTTATATGAATTTGGTATTCATCATGTTGTGCTAATGAGGTATGACAACTTTGACCGAGCCCAAGCTGATCATATCAAAATACAGTACCAATGTATGGGGCTGACGATTTGGCATGGATTATATATTTCGCTACGCTCTTGCTAGTGTGTCCATGAAAATATTTGGTCGTCTTCAGCCAGAAGTTTAAACCTAACGGACATTGCTACTAGTCGTTTATTCTTGTAACCAAACGACAGCAGTGTCATAAACACCAGGTAGTCTTGTGGTTTGTTATGCCATTTTCATTTCAAGTAGACATGCAATTGCACATTTGATTGCATTCATGGAGTGTCTATGGAAAGGTGTCATCAACTTTGCTTGTGGTCAGTCTACCTTGTTAATATCTTCCCTGATTTGATTACGTAATACATTTTCGTTTTAGAAACTTTAAGCACCTATTGAGTTTGGAAGTCGATAAGACTGACCGAATAATGTCACAACCAGAGGGAAATTTTAACAGACCACACAGTATGGGATTGTTCAGCTCATCAATAGTATCGTTATGCAGAAGGTTGTTTGTAACTGCGTATAATTTCCCTCTGGTATTTTAATGGCACAAAACTTTGGTGGTTGAGCTTAACTTAATGCATTTGGATTATTCCACTCCAAATATGCTATAAGAACAACAAGGGCTTGCAAGCTTTACAACCCAAAGTATTTTCTATATGGCCTCCAAGTTTTTAACCGACCCAAATTCCTTGTAAAAAGTACTTCCAGGAAGAAGCTTTATTTGACAGACCAATCAGTCATGATTTTGACAACCATAGGCAAATTTAGCTTATTATAATTTAATTATTCGACTCATTAGAAGAAAACTTCACAGCCTTCGTGCCTATCTCAGATTAGAGACCATATACTGTCGTATATTAGAACACGTATGAAGGTAAAATACTTGATATTGTATGCGTTAGTAACTACGTCTTATTCACTGATTAATAAGCTTCATTAAACACTTTGGGACAGTTTCCATTAGTCTGCGCGTAGTGAAATTTAATCTTACATTAGAACGTAAATATCGCCACATAGAAGTTACTAAACCGCTTTATCAAATGAGTCAGTACAGAACACCATTCGCTAAGATAATAGGATATAAAATTAATTGTTTTGTAAGTTTTCACTATGTTAGGATCATCTCACTAAAAATCTGACCAAAGAATAATCTTCCTAGATCCATGTGATATTTAATTACTTTTATATTTGAAATCTTTTGGGACTGAAGTGACTTAATTTTAAACGCTCACATTTTGTGATTTGAATATTGTCATGTTTTTATTTCTATTTCATGTCATCCAGTTCGACGCACTCGTCCTGGCAAAAACGTTCAAATGAGTGAAACAGAAATCCGCGGGCTGTGTCTGAAGTCTCGCGAAATCTTTTTAAGTCAACCTATTTTACTAGAATTGGAGGCTCCCCTCAAAATATGCGGTGATATTCACGGACAATATTACGACTTGCTCCGACTTTTTGAGTATGGAGCATTTCCTCCCGAAGCAAATTATTTGTTCTTGGGTGACTACGTGGATCGAGGAAAGCAGTCTCTTGAAACGATATGCCTGCTGCTAGCTTATAAAATTAAATACCCAGAAAATTTCTTTTTGCTAAGGGGTAATCATGAATGTGCCTCTATTAACCGTATATATGGATTTTATGATGAATGTAAGTGTTTAGTTGGGGCTTATTTGACCTACAGGCAAACGTCGATATAATATAAAATTATGGAAGACCTTCACAGATTGTTTCAATTGTTTGCCGATTGTAGCAATTATAGACGAGAAGATTTTCTGCTGTCATGGCGGTTAGTTTCTCATTTTATGCCATATTCCATCATAGGTCTTTCACCAGATCTTTCAACAATGGAACAGATAAGACGCATCATGCGTCCTACAGATGTTCCTGATCAAGGACTATTATGTGATTTACTTTGGTCAGATCCAGATAAAGATGTAACTGGTTGGGGCGAAAACGATCGCGGTGTTAGTTATACATTTGGTCCAGATATTGTGGCCAGATTTTTACATAAACATGATTTGGATTTAATATGCCGTGCTCACCAGGTAACGTGCAAAAAAATTCTCACTCACAACTACAGGTTGTCGAAGACGGTTATGAATTCTTCGCCAAACGTCAACTAGTTACTCTTTTCTCCGCCCCGAATTATTGCGGTGAATTTGATAACGCAGGAGCTATGATGTCCGTAGATGATACGTTGTTGTGTTCATTTCAAGTAAGGTTAAAATTTGTGTTAATAGTATTCTGTTCTTATTTTTGATATACTTGAATAAGTGGTGAGCAAAGATAGATACGACATAGGATCCGCCTCTAAATTTCTGCTACTACTTCATTCTCACTAATAGTGTCAGGTAGACTTTCTAAAAAACTAGTTCAGGCCCAGATGTAAACTTCTGTCATTTACCAAAACTCATATAGTTCCATTTATTAACGCTAAATGAACAAAAGCAACATTATAAGCAGTAAAATTAATTTATTTTATGTTTTTACCAGCTGCTTACATCTAAGAGTTTCTTCACAATGATAAAAAGGACTGACAGTTTCTTCCCTTAAATACAGTTGGTACGTATTTTAAAATTATTCACCTAACTAAATTGGCTATATACTTGTTATGAAGATTTAATAACGCCTTTTTAAAGTAGAATTTTGTCTTTGATAATTTAGGAAGCAGTGGTTTACTGGTTAAAGAACCCAACTTTTGGTAGTTGGCTTCAGGTAGTCAACTAACCCCCATGCCAAAAATGTGACTCAAAACCAAGTACATTGACCTGTTATTGGTGAATGACTAACAATAATAATTAAGATTACTGTTTATTTGTATTAATATTTCCTGTAGACTATTACTGTTATTAATTAGCAACAGTTATATTAATGTCTGCCTACAATACTTCAACACAGCAATTATTTTTACAGCTAATTACTATACTTGAGTATGACAGTGAATTAAGCTTGTTATATACGGTTTACATTTATTCATATATATATTACCAAAAAGACAAAAGGCATTTCCTCCGAAAGGTATCATGTTTGTTTATTATCACTGTTGAGAGGACAGTCAGTCATAGTCAACCTAAAACTAACACATATTATCTATCGTACCAATTTGCCGCACAGCGATATAGAATTTAAAAGCCCAATGGTAAGGAAGTCGAATTAATACCAGTATCAGTCATAGTAAAAACTAAATCTAGAAAAAAGGTTTATAAAGAAAGAGAAACTCACTGAATAAAGAAGTATTAAATAGTCGAGGAATTCTGAGTAATCAAAAATATAATCAATAAATGTATCTGTAACACTAACGGATTTTGAACCACTATTCTAACTAATATATTGACAAATACATTTACCACAAAGGGTAGTAATAATTCTTATCAAACGTTGGAGTATATTGTGATATTTCCTTTCTCCGAATATTACTGGGCACTCAAATTACTTATTATTAACTCCATAAGTCGTATATCACATCAAGGATAAGCGCAGTCAAATTATACATGGAAGATTGTCTTGAGTACAATATGGCATAAAATTGTTACAAATAATTCATAAACAACTTGTGTGGACTGCTATTATAGATAATCCTCTTGTTGTTTTATCATTAATTCATTTGATCTTCGTGCTTGTTTCGTTTGTAGATTTTGCGTCCAGCTGAAAAGAAAAAATATTACGTTGGCGTCCCAACTGGCAGCCGACCAATTACTCCACCTCGTGGGGCTAAAGCGAAAGGAAAATTATAAAAATCTTGACATACTGCATCTCCAATTTCTTTGCTTTTAAGACTATAATTAAAGCGTCAGGTAAATGACTTTATGACTACTGTCCCCTGTTCATTGCTGTCATTTATCACAGTTTTTCAAAAAAATCTCTTTCTGCGTCGAAAAGTTTAGATTTTCTTTATACATGTCTTTTTGTGGAAAAAAGCAGTTGTATTTCGTCCTATATCATTCAGATTGGATTAATCAGTGTGAACTCTACTCTTTGAAATCCTTTGTTTCTAAGTTATTAAACAGCTTTTATTCACTTTCCTACTTACAAGTCTTGTTATTCAAAAGGCTTGTTCTCTTTTTTTGCATGTCGTAGAAGCATACACAATACATTGGTTGTCAATTCTATTCTGTTGGGTACCACTTTACTATTGTTATTGCTATTACCATAATTGTACATTTCTTTTTCTTCTTCTTCTCATGTCTAATTGTTATTTAGAAAAATCAAACAGGAGAAATGAGTAGTTTTCAGTTGTTTTGCTCAATTGCTCCTTTGACTGATCACTAGTGTTGTTAAAAAAGAAAAATAATTTAACGGTAGAAATTACCTTTACTAATTTTGATACATCACAAACCTATTGATTCGGATGTCAAAATACTTAGTTCATGTATGTGATGAATGTGTGTATGCTATCTTCTTATTTTGTTTTCGAAATTTGATTGTTTACATTAATGACTGAGTTTCAGGTTTTTTACTTTTTTTGTTTTCCAATTTACTTGTATTGTACAGTTAGCTACTTTCTGTTGTAAAACTTCATATTCTTTAATGAAACAGTATGTTGGACTGAATAAAATATAACTTCGCCTTGCTGTATCAGTGTTATTTTTTAAAATAAATATAGGTCCTTGTATTATTTAATTGTCCAGTAATCTCCATATAAAGATAATAGTTTGACCATTCCATTGCCAATTTCACAGTATAGTTATCTGACTGTTGTACCAAATCTTATTTTATAAAATGTCACTTTTATTATGTATTTTGAGATACGACTATCAGTTTAAGTTGAAAAAATATGGTGGATTATTTATTCGCAAACATTATTTGTATTACTAATAAACAACCTAATGTTTACACAAATTACGGTTGGCTATTATATTCTTAGATCTGAAAACAACCAATGGTTGCTGTAAAAATATTTATAAGTGAAAGTAGTTCTACCTCAGTATATTTACGTGGTTTTGTCTTTCTTATTGACGAAGACTGAATTAAACGTTCATTTGAACTCAAATGAATGCTTGTAGAGGTGGTTTCTACTATTTTGTTTAGTTATATCGATTTATGGAGATGAGTTTCTAATTCCTTGATAAAAAGTTAGTCTTCTACTAAAAAAATGCGGTGAACGTATTGCAACATATGGACGTGATCCTTCCAGGTGGAGATCCTGAAGAAAGTCAGCTTCTGAACTCACGAGGAAATGAATAATAATCGACTTGTCTTTTAAACATTCAGAAAGTGGGATTATACTTTAGGATCGGTTTGCACTCTCAAGCGTAGTACCATAGTAAACTGCGAACTTCATTTACATCCACAGACTCACCATTATCAGTGTAGTCGCAGTGAAGGAGAGCACAGGTAGAGACAGTCGGATGTACTTCAACGCGAAATTATAGAATATCTTGGTAAAATCTGGGAACCATGCGGTAAATACTTCATTTGCAAAATGTCAATCAATCGTCTCAGACTTTATCGTTTCTCCAGCCATTCTCTGTCCTCGTTCTCTTTTCTTCGATCTTCTGCCGCCAGGTATTTCACTTTCGTTTGATGATACGTACTACTTAAATCTGTCGCCATCAGTAACACACACAACATAGTGACCCTAGAGAGCAAAATGGACAGCGACAATTTTAATCCATGTGTATAGCCAAGAATACTAATGTCCACGAAACCAATGAAGCATCAATGATTAACGTGCTAAGCTCATTATATCTGACAAATAAGTTCATCAGTTGCACTTTACGAACCTTTATGAAATCCTTCAATTCGATTCAATCATACAAGTTAGATAAGTTGGAAATTTGATACTATGAAATCCTTTAAGGAAGAAATGTTTTCTGATAACGACGTCTTAAAAGCGATAGTTAGAAAATTGTGATTAAACTATTCAACTGATAGAATATAACAATAACTAAATGTCAGACCTCAGCCACTATATTTCGTTAAAGCATAAAGTTCAATCAGTGAAAGAATATTCCAGTATTTTTTGGGATAAAGGTTATCCAAGAAATCAAGCCGATTCTATTCTTTATAACAGTTTACATGATGATTCCAGCATTAACGTATCTTATTTCGTTTTAATAAGTAATCTTGAAATCAAGTAAAATAACGCATAAGAAGACATTAGATAGGAATTGGAGCGTGTATGAGGTTTTATTTTAAACAGTGAAATAATCCACAGTTCATTACAGGTTAGGCGTTCATGATTTCATCCCTAATGAGAATGTAGTTATACTATCCAGTTCACAGAAAACAAAGAAACATATTTTGAAAGAGTTACCAGTATTTGAAATACTATACTGTCTTCAACCCTTGAAGTAAGGCTAGTATGGTGAATGTATTCATTGAATTTATCTTATTAACCAAACCAAAATCTTATTACAATTTTCTAAATGTAGTGAAATAGCATAACATGTACTGAGTGTGCATTTGTTTTGTTCATACGTCAGCTTTCATTGATTTATTTTAATAGTAAAAGGCAATAATTTTACACTACGTTGAATTACAAATAACCTTGGAACAAAAATTATATTATCCTTCCAATTTTAACAAAATTCCTCAATCAGAAGGGGTTTTGTGAAGATTTCAGTATTTTCATAGTTGAAAGCGTGAGTCAATTGAAACTAGACCACCAGGGAAAACCTGGAAGCACTGGATGGCCGTTTCGTCCTTTTGTGGGACTCCTCAGCAGTGCGCATCCACGATCCCGCACTCGTGAGATTCAAACCCAGGACCTATCAGTCTCGCGCGCGAGCACTTAAACTCTAGACCACTGAGCCGGCCGGCATCCAACGGTATCTATGTTTAACTTCAACCAAACCACGAAGTTTGAAATCACGAAACCCCTTCTGATCATAATCATATGCTCACTAGTGACTGACTTCAGGAGATATTTCCTGGATTTCTAGTGGGAAGCAGTGACCAGTGGAGTTCAACCACGTCTGTTGGGTGATATCAACTCACTGAAGAAAATTGGTGAACGTTTGTTCAAACTGCGTGGATTGGTTGAAGTCAGACATTAACACCGTTAGATGCCGGCTCAGTAGTCTATCGATTAAGTGCTATGGTACGAGACTGGTAGGTCCTGGGTTCGAATCTCATGAGGCGAGATCGTGGATGCGCACTTCTGAGGAGTCGCACAATAGGACGAAACGGCCGTCCATTGCTTCCAGGTTTCTCATGGTGGTCTAGCTTCAATTGACTCATGGTTTCAACTATGAAGATTCCTCAAATCTAAATTATTAGGTTATTAAATTGTTGCTTCAATGATAAAACTTATTCTAAATTACTAGTCTATAGTCCGTTGAACTTTATCAATGGAATATGATATAAATCATGATTTGTATCTATGATTATTGTTTCATTTATTATATACATCATATAGGTTGTTTTTGAATTCGAAACTTGATAACCAAGCCTATTTAGAATAATATTTATCCTTAAATAGGAATAATATATTTGTAAAATCTCAGCGAATGAATTTGTAGTAAATCCAACGTTTCGCCTGGCAATCTGGTTCAAGCTTTTTCAAGATAATTCCTTGAAAAAGCTTGGACCAGATTGCCAGGCGAAACGTTGGATTTACTACAAATTCATTCGCTGAGATTTTACAAATATATAATTCTTATTTAATGTCTTACATCAACTCGGCGCTCAAATACTGTGAAACTATTCGCTCTAATTTAGACGAGAGTTCTTAAATATTTATCCTTAGTCAAGTTTTTAAACATATACCTACTTACCGACACCTAGACTATAGTTGTATTTCTTGGCCTTAAGATTGTATCTGAGTCTATTCAATAACAGATTTTATGTATTTGTTTAGTAATATGAACTGATGGATATTTGAGCTAGATCTAATATTGATTATGAATAATTGAACGGTATATATCTTATATTTGCTGAAAATTTTGTAACTTTTAATTAAAAGAAAGAAATGACTTAACGAATATTTTAATCAGATTACGTATGGTTATAATGTTCAGAGTGGGTTGGAGAATGCTGGTCGGCGGTCTATGACACATTGGGAGTAACAGGCGTAAGTAAGTAATAGTTATAATGTTCAGTTTCCTATCGTAAAACATTGTCTATATTGTGAAAAGATTTGATTTCTGTTGACGATTATTTAAGTAATTAATTCAAAAGGGTAACTGTGTCCTATTTTAAGAAATAACTACAAAAATTAATTTACTAATGTACATAACACTTAGTCATTTAGTTTATAAGGGTTTGACTAACAAAGTTATTTAGAAATTTGTTGTTTAGATAATGCGGTGCGAAAAAATAAAGTCTATCAGAACCATGTAATGTATTAGTCTAACTTATTTCGAACAATCTGACCACTTATTAAGACATTTATTTAAGAAAAATAGTCAACTAGATAAATCTAAGAGAGAAATAAAGGTAATAGGGAAAAACAGTGTAAATCCTATCACTGTGGATAATAATTCGACGTTAATAAGGTAGAGTTAGAGTGAGTACAAATTGTTTTTGAATATGAAGAAGGGGTTTAAACTATTGCACAGCCATGACTTCAATACACATAAGTATTCGGCCCACACACTTTCTATGCAAAGCCACAACTGTGTTTAGAAATGGGTAGAGATGGATGATTATCCTTCTCTGTTGTAAGGTCATTTGATTTTGTTTACTTCTGTTACCTTTTTGAAATGTCTATAGCTACCCTTAATTGCGAATTGCAATTACTTCTCTCTATGTATATGTGACCGTGTACATATGTAAATTGCGTAACAGTTGG